GGGCCTGGCCTAGGGAGGATTTTTAAACTGGGTTTTTTAGAAATTTTAATTATCACAACATAAAAATTTTGGTTTTAATTTGGTTTTATTCGGTGGGGTGTGTGGGTCTTTCTTTGTTTTAATAATGTTGTGAGCCGCCCTGAGTCCTTCGGGAGAAGGGCGGGATATAAATTGAAATAATAAATAATAAATAAATAAAACACTGATTTTTGGCAGAAAACATTGTAAATTGCAGTCGTAGAACTGTGGGAAACAAAAAACAGCCATAAATGCAAGCAGGTTGCCAACTGCCTGAAATGCAGTCACATGACTACAGAGAAGGCGTGGCCATCAGAACTGGATTATAAGTACCTTTTGGGGGGTCCATCATAACAGTCACTAAGAGAGCAGTCATAAGTTGAGGACTATCTGTATTTCTGAACCTCAGAAATATTAAGTACAGGTAGTCCTCGATTTACAACAGTTTGTTTAGTGACTGTTCTAAGTAACAACAGCACTGAAAAAAGAGACTTATGACCCTTTTTCACACTTAAGACCTTTGCAGGATCCCCATGGTCATTTGATCAAAATTCAGAAGCTTGACCACCGACTCATATTTATGACGGCGGCAGTGTCCCGAGGTCATGTGATCCACCTCTTGTGACCCTCTGACCAGCAAAATCAATGGGGAAGCCAGATTCATTTAACAACTGTTTTACTAGCTTTACAGCTGCAGTGATTCACTTAACAACTGTGGCAAGAAAGATCCATAAAATGGGGCAAAACTCACTTAACTGTCTCACTTAGCCACAGAAATTTTGGGCTCAATTGTGGTTGTAAGTCAAGGACTATTTGTATAAAGTTCAAATCTTGGAATTCTCCAGCTAGTATTTGGGAAGTTTAAATCCACACATCTAAAAGGTGCTGAGGTTGAGATAACACTGATTTAAGCTAAGGAGTCCCAAGGATTCTAGACTCTTTTGAAAGCAAAGGGTTCAAAGACCACCACCCCCCATCCCCCCCTGCATCATTTTGGTTGCCTTCTTCATTTTGGGGGAAAACTTCTCTCCACCATCTGAACTTTTGTTCCTTGCTATGATTTATAAGTCATAAAACATTTGGCACCATTAAAATGCTCTTCCTGGAGAAGATGGGAAAACCACACAGGCTGAAATGGGTAACAGCTGCCTGGCTGACTTGGGACCAATCCCTCTCTTTCAAGGCCACCTACTTCACAAGGTTGTTGTTGGGCGAAAAATATGAGGTGTGAGCATTCTTGAGTTGACCAAAAATAAAAGTGGAAGCAAACCAAAACAGAATGCATTGCTTTGTGGAGAACAGGGTTTCCCAACCTTGGCCACTTTAAGACCTGTAGACTTCAACTCCCAGAATTCTACACTGGCTAGGGAATTCTGGGAGTTGAAGTCCACATGTTTTAAAGTGGCCAAGGTTGGGAAATCTTACTTTAGAGGTACACAAGTTTTTCTTTCTTTTTTTTTAAAGAGGAGAACTTGCTAGTAGCTTACCGTGCCAAGAGAGATATTCTACAATATCCCACACCACTGTTGGGATTCCACACTTGCTCAGCCCTTCTTGCTGCATTTCCTGAAGACTAGTGCCAAACAACTTCCGGTGACAGGACCCTTTCTGCCTGCTCACGGGCGGAACGGCAATCCTTTTCATATCTTCTTTAAGCTTGACCGCTGAATTACTTTGCTTGAAAGGACACAAAAAGGGAGAACACCCAGTCAGAGTGACGATTGGAGGTGGCATGGCTTCTCAAAGCACGCCCTTCTGAAGGAACTGGAGGGATTTTATGGAACAGAAGCTTTTCTGAGGTCGAGATTCCTGGCAGGAC